GGTTGGACGTGCATCCCCCTTACACTGGTTTCTGACCCATGACAGCTGAAGATTATTCCTGCCAGACTATTTGTGCAGGCTCTTGAAAAAAAAAAGAGACCTTCAGTGCTCTGATGTTCAGTAATACCTAGGTAGAGAGGGCAAGAAACAGCTTTTCTCTGGTAGCCTCTTTTCTTCAAGATTTCAGACCTAACTGAATACATATATTTTATGTATGAACAGCACTGAAGATATCCACCCATATGCTGAGAGAAACTGCTTCAATGGCTGAAAGAAAAACTTTGTTTATACTAACAGTGGGTTATGGCACACATCTTGTTACTGTGAGATAAAATATGTGAGATTTCTGCAAAAAAATAGATGACAACTTTTATAATTGCTCTTTTCTGATGCAACCTGCCAAGAAGGAAAAAAAATCTGCAGCTCTGCACATATTACGTATTTCACATAAAATAACTATCTTTAAAGAACATTATTAAGGTTGGCAAATTAAGCACTCAAAATTTGGGATTTAACTGGTTTGTATATTTCTGTCTGCGTTACTCAAACCAAATTGGTCCTAAACTCATTCCACCTTCATTCCTACAATCCAAACTCTATTTCTCATGGACCCCTCTGTACTACTCCTCTTGCCCAACTATTTCTTGTTCTGACTCTCAGCTCTTTATTCTTCTTCATTGTTTCCTGCAGCAATTGAGGGCTTTTGAATATATGATTTTGCTGTGGTCTTGGTGCTTGATGTCTGCCTGACAACCTACATATTAATCATTCTCCTGTTTTCTTGAGGAAACGCATCCGCTGCTGAAAGTGGTGTGTGATACCTGACAGGCCCTGGAGAAGGTACAACCAGCCAAGCTACTTGCTGAGCAGTAGAAGTATCTAACAGATCTCAGTTAAAACTAACAGTCTTCAGTAAAATTACACAATGAACTTCAGTGAAAGTAAATGCATCTCTGTGAAATTACCAGATAGACTTCGGTAAAAATTTAACAAGCTTTGGTGAAATTACCCAGCAGACTTCATAAAAATTAGCTGGGTAGCACTACTGAAGCTGGCAGTGCTGATACACCTTTGGCTCCATTGCAGGTTGCCTCCCTTTGTTTCTACTACAGTACCAGGCAGGGAGACATCCTGGGAACACGGTACTGCTGTTAGTCATGCGACCTCTTGCTCAGAACATCCTCATTGATGCTGATTTCTGTAGGACAATGACTATGTTGGGTAGCTTTGCCTGCACTTTACTTCTGTAATACTGGGAGAGCATCCTCCAGACCAGTCACAAACAACTGCGGGCTCAGAAAAGGCCATCTCCAAGCCTCAGACTGGAAACAGTGGAAGGCTTGCATTGCTTCAGAACAATAAAAGTTAAGATCGGAATAGTTACCTTGTACCACACCACATCTGGCTCTTGACTGGCTGTTTTGTAATCCTCAATATCAGGACAGGAGATTGTCTTTCTCTTAGTGACTTCTGATTTTTCCAGATATCTGATCTTGCTGTTGTAGCAAAGCCCAGATTCATTCTCAGCTACTGTCAAGGACATGGACACCTTCATGCAATATGTCGAGTTTCTGCAGGGACAGAAAGATGTTTTCATTTATCCTGCCTCCTTTTTACCATGTTTGTTTCAGCACAGTAAGTTTGTTTGTTAAGCTCTCATCTTTACAAACACTCCAGGGACACATTCAAACACTGACTGCCATGTTGTGCATTTCCAACACAAAGGAATTACTAGAAAATGTAAAGGTTGATTTCTGATTTACTATGAAGAACCCTGTAGAAATTCTGCTGACAAGAGATCTAGCCCAGCATAGCAGGTCTTTAGAATTTGCAAGTCTACGAACACAGGAACCTGTTGGCATCGCAAATGTCGGTCGGGATACACTGTCCCGTCTTTCTCTCACACCTTCAGCAGATCTCACTCCAGTATGCAGCACTATACGTTTGAGAAGAAGGGTTATGTGCTGGATCATGCAGGACATCGTGTGGGAAGAACTCCTCTCCCTGAAGGAACTGCTACATAGGATCCTATGGCATGTGATACTATGGTGGGCTGACCTGGGCCAGCTGCCAGCCACCCACCCAGCTGCTCTCTCACTCCCTCTCAACAGGACCAGAAGGGGAAAATAAGATGAAAAAGCTCAAGATAAAGACAAGGAGATCACTTAAGAATTACTGTCATGGGCAGAACATACTTGACTTGGAAAATATTATTTTAATTAATTTCACATTAAAGTAGTTTTAGGTGGTGTGAAAAAAAAAAAAAAGTAAAACCTACTCTTCTCATCTCATGTTTTTACTCCACTCCACTACCTTTCTCTCCCCAGCCTCGAGTCCTGTCAGCCTCATTGAGGGCTCGGCCCTGCCCTGAGGGGAACTGTCAGGAACCAGTGGAAACTGGCAGGAACTGGCTGGAACCAGCTGTGTCTGGCACGGGGAAGCCCATCAGCTCTCCCAGAGGGGCCGTGAGCACAAGCACCCCACGCAGATACACAGGAAGTCAGATTGGGGTTACAAGGGTACATTTTGGCCTTAAATTATTGAAAATGTAATCCCTTAGCGCTTCAAACCACGGCCCGCTCTATCTGCCAAAGAGCCCTGACAGTTCAGTCCAGGGGAGTGGACTGGGAGCTATGTCTAGACTTTCTTAACAGCAGGGGAGAATAAACACAACCAGGCCAGCACCTGTGCCTCACAAGGTGAAAACAGGATTAAATTAAATTCCTTCAGACTTGCATCTTTAACAGAGCTATCAGACACACAATAAGAAAGCCCTAAACTGGTGTTTGTCACGGTGTTCCTGTGAAGCATTTGTACTTTGCACAGGATCGTTACAACTCAGCCTGCCAGCTTCTGCCCTTTGTTGGCTCTGATGGCAAGCTACAAAGTACACATGACAATATAATGAGGCTCTTCCTCCCATCGTGTATCATTTTGTCATTTTAATTGACTACCCCACAACCAAAAAAAGCCTGGAGTGAAAGCGAAGTGCTGGGTGGTTCCTCCCCTCAAAGGGAGCTGTGGAGAGCCCTTGCAGGAGTTGCTACTGCTTTGCTACCACCTCTTCCATTGCAGCTTTGCTGCAAACTGGTTTAGAGTTTTGGGGTTTTGAGGCACAAGGGTGGCATGGCAGACAAAAACTGCCCTGTGCACCTGGAAAGTGATTCATCAGTCAAACCCTGATGCTAACGATGCTGGTTGCTCACTCCTTCCAATTAGACTCATGACAATGCTTTTAATTTAAAAACAGAAATTAAAAAATAAATCCAACATACTCCATAAATCTTTTCTTATGCAACATTTAAACATGTCACTCCATCAACTGAGCCTGTAGTTAGGAAGAAAATAAAAAGGTCTATAGGGATACTTCATCACGGCTCTAAGTTTCATGTTAAACACGCCCTCACAAAACACTGTGCAAATGGCTTCTTGTCAAAGGTGTGCCATGAGCAAGCATCTGTGAACAGAGGCATCTGCAAGGCAAATCCCATTCAGGATTTCCATCCAGGAACCTCCCATTCAGCAGAACCACAGATTTCCCCCTCCCTACTCCCATTTCTTCAAAATGTCACCTCTATGTTTATGTAATAAAATCAGTGGATATTTTCTCTGTCCCTCCCCTTGGAGTGGAAAGGCTCACTTTTCATACTGACATCACGTTTCAGTTAAGAGGCTATAAAAAAGTCTCAATCTCACAAATGGCAAAAAATGTATTATTTTACCTGAAAGTCCTCTGGGCTGAAAAAAAAAATTCATCATTTTGAGTGGGTTTTTCAGAAATACTTAAGGAAACTTAAGAAAATTTTCTCCCAAACTACTTTTTTTTTGTTAAAGGATTACCTTTTTTGTAAGAAAAAACCAAAACATATTCATAAAGTTTTAATGCTTCCTAGTACAGTACTGAATATCCACAAAATATGGATACAACCACTCAGTATAATTGATAGTAATTAATCAGTAACGATTATTTAACTTTCCTGAATGACTACAGGTACTACTGAGTGCAAATAAGGTCACATGCACTCAGTAACAAAGATCCAGGCTAATCAAGAATAATGACTTTGAATAGCTGTCCATTACTTGGTGTTATTTAATAGTGCTGTATTTTCTGCTAACAATCTTGCATTATTTAGATTGTATTTTGAACAGCGCTGGAGGCTACTTCTATTTAAAATGATTCCTGGAAGCACAACCTAAAAATGTAGCATTCTTTTCATTAGTTACAATTAGAATTGAGTAGAATTGAGCAAACTAAGTGCCTGGTGAGTACTATCACTTTTGTTCACACTCCATGACCGAGACAATAAATCTATTCAGGCTCATGATGAAGAAAGCCCTCACTAAGCCAACAGCAATAGACTTGAAAGCTTGATGAATGCTTCTTCACCAGCCACTCATGTTAGTGCTGCTGCTGGTAATTCAGAAAAGGACAACTTCTGCAGGAGGTCCAGTGAATGAAGCAGAAGCCTTCCCTCAATCTAGTCAGCTGGAAAGAACAGTTAGAGTTCAGTAACGTGCTCAATGAAAGAGCAGTTTGACCCGTCTCAGTTTTTCTCAGTTTTGAGGCAGAAGTCTGGGAGCCAAGGTTTGTGCAAGACGCGAACGATTGCTCCCTGTGCAAGGCTGTTCCCCAGGACAGTGTGGATTTCATCACTCAGTCCTCAGAGCAGGTGATGGGGCTGTGCTCACTTCTTCCTGGAGACTCCCATGGCTACCATTTTTCTGTCAGCTCAGCTGCTAAGAAACAGAGCTTCCTAAAATGATACATTCCCTTTGTTTTAAACAGAAGATCACCATGGAATTGACCGGGTTTGTTCTACGTAAGAATTAGTAGATGAACCTGTAAATTTTTCTACACAGAAAAAAAAAAATCATTTGAATTGTAATGTGCAGAAAAACGTGTGTTTGGGTTTACTGGTACGTGGGAACGTCATGGAGCTTGGTGGGGGAGGTCAGAGCTCCCAGCACTTTGTGGACTGGCAGGAAAGGTTACGTAACCATATTTAATGAGGAAAGCTGGAACACAAGGACAACAGATAACAACAGCAAAGCTGGTGGCCCAGATATTGCTGTCAGAATTGGTGGCTGAAACAAGTTAAAAGGAAGAATCCTCCAGGTGGGTGAGGAAGATTCTGGGTGGCTTCAATTGGTGAACTCAATATTAGGAGGCCAGGGAAGAAGAGTTGTAGCTAAGTAGAGAATGCTGGAAGCCAAATGACCCTGACAGACTGCAGACAGTCCACTTTCCACATGTAAAGAAGCCCATGAGTCTGAAATTAGGTCTTTTAATAATTTGGGTTTTTTTTTCTGAAAGGTTTCCAAATCATTCAATTTCTAGGGGAACTGATTTCCAACAGTCTCCTACAGGGAATTTCTACAGGGAATGGCAGTGACCATATGAGGGAAGGAAAGAAGGAATCACTCCATAGTACAAAGAAAAAAGATTGTCTTGTATTTTCACACCAAAACTAAGATTTGTAATTCCCTGTTTCAATGGACTAGTTATAAACTGGGCCTACTCTCTCAGCTGCAGTTGTGAAGAAGTGTTTAGCTTTGCCAGAGTTCACAGAGCAGTTTCCTTTGTTCTGGTGGCAAGGCGTTTGTAATCCCCAGGCCACCTGAAACTGGCTCTGAACCACAAACTGAAGCCAGCTTAGAATCCAATAGAAAACCACAGGGAAACCCAAGGGAGTTTAACAGGTCTCAGAACAAAAGCAAGCAAAACTGTGAGTTTGGCTTGGTTTTGAAGCAATGACAAGAGGGAAAAAGGAAGATACAAAGAAATGGCTAAGAAGGACATTTGAAATTGAAGTGTCAAACACTAAATTATTTTTCATCTTGCTTTGGATTCAAGACAATTCATCTACAGCTGAATTCAAATTAGAGGCAAGAGTCAAAACTTTGCAAAAAAACTTTTCTGGCATTTGTGCTTCTGCTATGTAAGGGTGGTTTGTTAACAGAGTTAAGTAAAACAATTTTGACTCTGGTAGGCATGGAACCTTCCCCCTTGTTATCAATTTTCTTATAAAGAGGAAGGGGGCAGCAAAGTAGTTGAGTGCTTGAGCTCTACTAGATAAAGAAAAAAATCCCTAAATTTGAAATTGCATGTTTATACAAGATTTCCACCCCCCTTTTTTTTTTTTTCTTTTCCCCCTTTCAGGTTCATTTTTCATTAAGTGTTGGGGGATTTTATTACATTCTAAGACTTTAGTCCTAGATCTGAGACTATGGTGGTAGATCCAAAAGCTGGGAAGTGTATCTGTCAAAGCAGTGCTCAGGAACAGCACAGCTCAGAGTCAGATGTCTCCCAGTGGCTCTTTTAATGACGTTTTCACTGACTTACTGAAATACTGATGGCAGGACTGTATAGGTCAACCCACACAGTCATCTTGGCTTGTTCTGAGTTAAAGCAATGTCTGAGAGACAACGTCTGAGAGCCATGTCTGAAGAGGAGTAGTTCAGCAGACGGCTGGCACTGCTGCAGTTGGTCCCTGAATCACAGGCCCAGAGGTGCAGTGGTTCTGCAGCACGTGTGTGGGGTACCTGTCCTTGGCACAACTCCAAACACTCC